ATATATATATATATATATATATATATATATATATATAATGGTTACTTTAATCATATTAAAAGCTATTCCAGGTTTTGTCGAGCAACAACTATTCGATAAGCTTTATCCAGGATGAAATCGAGAAGTATACTACCCTCAGCTACAGGTCTCCAGAAATGATCGATCTTTACTGCGGCAAACCAATAGGTTGGTTCCATTGTCCGGGTCTTTGCCGTTCTCTGCGGTAGCATTTGTCCTTAATTCTCATTATATGGCTTTTTCGACTAGTGACTGCGTCGCATAATTTTGATTCACCATTCATGTTCCTCTACATAGGTGCTTTAATGCAGATTTATCTCTCAATCCATTTGATAATCGTCACACGCGAAATTGCTTTCCATTTGGATTTGTATCCACTCGATATCTTTCATCAATCGGTTTCCTTTAGGGACCAAGTCGGACACTTGGGCAATGGGAGTGATGCTTTACAAACTTTGCTATTTCTCCCTTCCTTTCGGAGAATCAGCTATGGCCATTCAAAACGGAGCTTTTTCTTTTCCCAATGAACCCAGTCATCCGGACTCAATAAAAGCTATCATAAGTGAGTGAATATTGCAAAAAGCTGCGCTGATACTTGTCGTGTTTTTGAAGCAAAAGCGTTTAATTAAGTTTAGCTATCCATTGTTGGTCATTCTTTACGAAGATTTTCTAATATTCGTTGTGTTACAAACTATTATCCTAGAGTGTCTGCTCAATGCAGATCTAGAAAAGCGACCCACTATCTACCAATGCTCCGTGTTGGCGTTTACTGCAGCAGAGCGAGCTTGCCCTGTTCGTAATGCGAGAGTAAGTTGTACTCTATCAGGTGAAGATTTTGATAATCGGTCAACTTGAAGGGTTGTCGCAAGCCGTCGCTCTCCGCTACAATTCGGTGTTTCCAGTCTGGAGTAGTGTCAATGTTTGATAAAGAGCTTGAGGATCAGGTCGATCATGTTAGTCCTCCAGAACCACAAGTTGGCAGTGAGTTATCGTAACTGTTTTATCTATTTTTAGTCTCCACTGCAAAATTCATTCACATGTTCCTGCATAACTTCGCAAGAAAGTACCCTCTTGTCAACTCGCTATTTTCTCAAGGCAGGATTTGAAAGCTCTATGAGCGATGTGGTCACACAAATGCATTTTATCAGCGCAAACTCGTTGTGTGCTCTCATTCAAAGTTTGGGTCCTAAACGCGTTTGAAAATTGTTTGTACATTTATTATAGTAGTGTGAATGGGAGAAACAAGCCAATTGTCTTTCACTTATTACCAAATATCTTTAGTTTTTCGCACCGGCGCAGAGGGGGTGCTTGGCGGACTGTCAAATTCACATTAACATTGTTATTTCAGAAAGATTGAATTTCCGTTTAGGCGCGGCTACATCAATATTTTTTTT